CCAGTTGAAAACTAAACAATACACTTATACAAACGTACTAGACCTAACAACCAGTTGAAACCAAATAATACACTTGTACGGGAAACAACCTTGCTTGACCTAACAACAAGTTGAAAACTAAACTATACAATACTGTACATATCACAATAATGTACATAAGAATATAATAGTGTACCTCACAATCTAACTGTATAATAATGCACATTACAATACAATACTGTACATGTCACAATAATGTACATAACAATATAATAGTGTACCCCACAATCTAACAGTATACCTTACAGTACCTGTCACAATAATGTACATAACAATATAATAGTGTGCCTCACAATCTAACAGTATACACCACAGTATGATAATGCACATTACAATACAATACTGTTCATATCACAATAGTGTAACATAATACAACAGCAGACTTCAAAATATGTTTGTGAATATCACAATATAACTTTATTACAATATAAAATAGAGTATGTCAGAGTATAATAATGTATGCCACAGTATAACTGTATGTCACTATATAAATGATTTAGTAAAAGTTTTGCCTACAACTAATTCATATTATAATGAAGAGACATTTACTCTTATTCAAATTGAAACTGGACACGTGCCAACTTTTAAAGTGAAAGTTCTAACTGGAAATGTGTCACATATTCTCAATATTTCTTAGTGACATATCACTGCATGTATGTTTTGTCAAATTAGTCGTGTTTGTTTGAATAATTTAAGGTACTGACATTAGACCAAGTGTTTAAAGTAGTGACATTAGGGCAAGTTATGTCAAACTGTTCCTTACTATTTTCAAGAAATTATAAAACATGCTTTATACTTCACATAATTGAATTCAGTGTATCTTCTGTTGATTCAATATTTGTCTACTTTCTCAACATTTTCTAATAATAAAACAAACTGATAACTCACATAAAAATTAAACCTACCTTCTGCTGAGCCAACATTTCCTCCAGTTTTTCCACATTTTCAAAAGCACCTTCATCCTTGGCTTCAGTTTCTTCTTGAACTCCTTTCAGCCAACAGGTGACTTCTTGCACTTCTTCCCTGAAGATGTAGCACTTGGATATCGTCTCAGTGTAGATAACAGTAGTTTCAATGATTGGGACAAGGTTCTTGTACCTGTCCACCAAAGCATCTAGTCTGTTTTTCTCCTGGACTGCCTCAGTATCTGGAAGTTTTAAAACTAGATTCTCCAATTTCTGAACCAGCCATTTAACATCTTCTTCATGTGTGTCAACATCTTTGCACATTTCCTAAAGGAAAAAATGATGTCTTAAACTTCATATTGGAAATCATAAAACAGAAAAATTTAATATTAAAATTAATACAAATTCTAATCAAACAATGAATGGATTGAACATAAAATTGTTTATTAAAAAGGTACCATACAGGAATTGCTTTTAAATGAAATCAAGCTGAAATGAAAAAAGTTTTCACTTTACCAAATATATTTTCAAACTCTCAAAGAACAACTATTTATCACTTTTAAAGTCCAAAACATATTAAACTTCTAGAATAAGAAATAGATAGCCTCTAAAAAAATTACACTCACAACAGATCAAGAACAGTCTTTAGAAAGACACATAGCAAGAACAACAGAAAAGAGTCTTTACAAAAACATTTAGTAAGAACAATACTAACTTAAAGTATTGTAAACAACAACAGGGTTTCTTACATCATTTCTAACACACTAATAAGACAAGCTTATCTTATGTCAGTTTCTAAAATGTTTTAATAAAAAGTCTCACCTGAAATTTTACCTTCACAGTTTCAAATTCTTGAGAAGATGCCATTTCCTGGGTAGTAGCAGCTATGTTCTTTTCCATCTCATCCATCCATCTAATGATTGAATTGAATCTAAAACAAACGAATTATATAAGCCTTTTCAGGAGAAAATACAAGATAGATGCTAAATAAAATCCAGAGATACAGCTTTAGAGTGGATTATTTCTTTAACTTTTATAACAACATTTTGACTATTCGTGTGGCTATCATCAGGTAACTGTAGTCTATGGTATGAAATATTGAACAAGTATTTTGTCCTAACTTATAAAACATATGGGGGTGACATACATTTTGATCTAAATTAGGTTTTACCTCACAAATAATTAATGCTTCTTTTATTTTTCTTCTACTAATGTTGTTCTAATAACATAATATTTTTAAAGCTGGATGTCGATTTGGAATACTGTGTTCATAAATGTGTGATGGGGATTGTTATGTCCATTGATCCCAATATATATATATATATATATATATATATATATGTTGCATCCTGTTTCACCTAAATAAATGCTTCTATCATTGAAGTTGTCAGAATAAATCTTCCTTAGATGACCTTTAAGGGTCAGGCTACTACATTTGCACACT